AAATCGATTAGGAACATCAATTCTAACATACATGTATTCTCATTCATCATTTCGTAATGTCCGCTTTGCTTATACTATTTATCGCATTAATAAAGTTATTGTCTCCTCGTTGCCTATTCATGTTGTATTATATTGGACGGTGACTTTATCCAGGCATGTGCAAGAGTGTTCGACTGTGTCTGCGGCCGCGACTTTCGCCATCAGAATCACTTATCCTTATCCCGACACAAGGATGATTGCATCGCCTAACAGCTGTCATCGTGGCGATGGGCTTTCCAAAGGTCCAGAGGTATGTGTGTGTTTCTTTCTGGTTGCTGCTGTTCTTCTCTACAATGGAGTTAAAGCTGCTCAACTGAACTAGACCCGACCACTGAGAATGGCCGTGACTAATGTCCATAGTATGCAGCCGGTGTGCAGTCTCCTCCTATTGTAGTCCAGGTGTACTTCACGCCATCTGTTCTGGATGCGGTGTCTCTTGCTACCCTCTACACGGCCACATCTAGCGAGAAGTCTGTGTGCTGCTGAAGGACTCTATGCAACACCGGCGCCCCGGCTCAGCACAACACTATGAACAGAACATACACGTATGCCATGTCTGCTCTGCACACCTCTGGCATTTATAAGGAGAAACGTCGCAATGTCCTTAACACGCATGCTAGTTGTCATGGAGATATGGAGAAAAGTAAGTGCATTTCAAATAATAATAATTAATTGTGATTGTACCCTGACTTTAGTGTGTACCTCATGATCAGTGATGGCATTCATATGAACAGCTCCAGCACACCGAGCCTGACCCTGACCCTGAGGGAGTCGTCACATACCACTCCCTGGTCTGAACACATTTTGAGGAGGAACTCTCTACATGTATCTCTCTATCTTCCTCTCTCTCTATCTTCCTCTCTCTCTCTTCCTCTCTCTCTCTCTCTCTCTCTCTCTCTCTCTCTCTCTCTCTCTCTCTCTCTCTCTCTCTCTCTCTCTCTCTCTCTCTCTCTCTCTCTCTCTCTCTCTCTCTCTCTCTCTCTCTCTCTCTCTCTCTCTCTCTCTCTCTCTCTCTGTCTGTCTGTCTGTCTGTCTGTCTGTCTGTCTGTCTGTCTGTCTGTCTGTCTGTCTGTCTGTCTGTCTGTCTTGTCACTCACTCACTCACTGTTTCCCCACATGTACAGTACAAAGAGTCCACAAGCAAGACTTTTGCAGTACGCAACTGTGATTTTGAAGAAGGGCTGAGGCTTCCTGCAGCTTCATCTGTGAAAAGAATTCGGGTGGACACACCCATTCCCATAGCGCTGCACATCACATCCGAACCAGTTCCGTTATTTTTACAACGTTTCGGCACTTGGCCATCGTCAGGTAATAACAATGAATTAACAAGGTAATAACAATTCATTGTTATTACCTGACGATGGCCAAGTGCCGAAACGTTGTAAAAATAACGGAACTGGTTCGGATGTGATGTGCAGCGCTATGGGAATGGGTGTGTCCACCCGAATTCTTTTCGCAACTGTGATTATGGGTCAATATGCCAGTCAACCCACACAGCGAGCTGCCTTCATTGTGCAACTTCCTTCAGAAGTAACAGTTACCTGCATCCCGCAACACAATCCTTTCGGATGCATGGTTCATTTACACGGTACTCGGAGCAAAACGTGCAAGTTGTACACCGAAACGGAAGAAAACCAAAACGCTGGCCAAGGTGGAAGAATTTGAAAACGGAAATGTTCTGCCGGGTGAATTTGGGTGTGTAAACAGTCTAAACGGTCTGCTGGCCTCGTTTCCCGTCACTTTTGTTCCGTTTTCGGCCGTTCACACGGATCCGACAATCAAAAAATTGTTTTTTACAATTTTCGTCATGTGACGAGTTCTGTCGTGTGGCCTGTTTTCAAATATTCCTTGGGTGTGATTGGTGCTTCCGCGGCAACACTTGGCACATGTCGAACTTTTGTGGATCCTTTGCTCCCGTGTAGACGCGTGAAAACGATACAAACCGAGACCAGCTTGGATCAGTTTTGATCGTGTAAATGCACGAAAACGAAAAAAGAAATGCGGGACTGAAAACGGAAAACTGGCCGTGCGTTGTCGTGTAAACGCAGCCTGAGCCACCTTTTTCGGACCAATTTTTAAGTTTCGAATCTCGCGGCACTGTACCACAAAATCACGAAAAATCACCAAATACGGGAGCTCTCCAGACTCCAGAGCCAGCGCTTATCTTTTTCTGAATGGACTGTAGACTACCTTGCAAAAATGCAGCAAATTGAGCTTTGTAACTTGATTCTATTGTCTGTGCCTCACAGGAAGATTGGCGGGGGTTAGTGACAGATCGCGAGCGCTTTGACATTAAATTTCTCATCATACGATACTCCCGAAGAAGTGCTGCTATAACGTTCAATCTCCATCGGTACTAGTTTCCACCAAAACATGTTGGTAGAACCAGAGGGACACACCCTAGTGTGGTCAGCTCCATTAATGCATTGTACCACTGTGGTCCATGCAGCCGGACTTTTAAGGCGATGTCATTAGCTGCGACTGTGCACCCTCCGAGACCGCCGCCATTACCTTGGCCTGTGTTTCTTCAACCTGGTGAAAGCGTTTGACTCAGTTTGGCATAGGGGGGTTACTAGCCAAGCGGCATGCTTATGGGGTCACCGGACGCCTGCAGTCGTGGCTCACCTCCTATCTCAACAATATGACTCAATCAGTCAAACTTGGTCCAGTCCTCTCGGATTCTATCCCTATTTGCTCTGGTGTACTGCAAGGGTCCACTCTAGGACCGTTACTTTTCCTGGCCTTCGTCAACGACCTCCCTGTCCTCAACGCTGGCGTGTCTCTGTTTGCAGACGACACTTGTATGCTGCGCAGTAGTCCCTCTGTTTCCCGTCTTATATTAGATCTCCAAGCGGGTATCACGGATATCACCTCGTGGATGGCATTGTGGAAGCCAAAACCTAACGTCGGGAAGACCAAGGTAATGATCATTCCCCCTCTGTCTACTACTCTCTACTACCCTCTCCCTCCCCTAGTATTCCATTTCTCCACCACTCCCATAGAATATGTAGATCATCACAGGCATCTTGGTGTCATTTTTGACACCAATGTCTCCTGGACTCACCATGTTGCCCACATATGTAAGAAGACTAGTCAAGCCATAGGTATAATATACTCACACCGCACTCATCTTCCTGACAGCTGTCGTGCTCTTTTTTATAATGCATATATCTTGCCGCATTTTGACTACTGCTGTACTGCCTGGATAAATCTATCTATTGCCCAACAGCAGAAACTGGGAATTTACAATCGTTCCCTCCTTAAGATTCTTTATCATATGCCCAAGTCCCTTTCTAGTGTCGCTCTCTATATGTTATCCTCGACCAGACCTCTCCTAGAAAGACGAAGAATCATGATGTGCTGTGTTATCCATCGTATTCGACTTTCCAAAATACCCCCGCATCTTAAACCACTTGACTGGTTCCGATGGGATAACTCCACTAGGAACCAACTCTCCCTTCCTCTAGCCCGCTCTTCTGCATTGCTACACTCCCCCCTTTTCAATGGCTATTTGCATTGGCTTGAGCTGCACCAGGAGACAAAGGGCCTTTCTACGTTAACAGCATTCAGGAACGCCTTGCTTTACCAGTAGACCACAGTTTCAGTCCATATTTGCTTCTTTCTTCTTTTCCTTTTCTTTTTGACTTCTTACTCTTTTCCTTGTTAGCCGTGGTTGGCTATAAAAACCCTGCAATCGTCACGCAAAGTGGTCATTGGCTACTCCAGCCAGGGAGCCCTACACATACTGTATGTGTAGGGCTCCCTGACCCCAGCCATGTATTGCTTGGAATAAAAATAAAATAAATAAAAACATGCCAAGAACATTATTTGTAAGGAGGTTTTCGGTCTACTGCTTCCTTCCTGGCGCCAATGCTATTGTGAAACATCTGTTTTGACAATATTCCTGAGTTTAGGGTTGAAAAATCAGTCTTGATATGGTCAGTTTATGCCTGTATAGACTGGAGTTGGCTTGATAGTTGACAATTGAAAAAATAAGAGCCCAGCCTCTAATAGTAGCGCGAGTAGAGATGTCACTGAAAAAATAAGAACCCCGCTCTTATTAGAGATAATACGGTAGGTACAAATTTTCGTTAGGGGGCACGAAATAACTAAAGTTTGCACCAAACTAAAGTTTTTTTCTGAACGTTCGGGGTGACAGACATCGACCAAAAACGAAATTCAGGGTGTGTTCTTATATTCTCTAGCTTCTAGGAGAAGAAGAAAAGTCGAAGAAACGGGTATAATTCAAGAACGGATCTCGAAGAATTCGGAGATATTTTGCACATGTCAAGCAATATGAAGCGCTAAAGGGACCGCGATCTTGAGTTACTAGTATGAATTTAGTATACACATGTGCGTATGCGAAAAGGGAAATGCGTACACTCATGATCAACACGTTAGCCGTAGTTCACATGTGCTGATCCCAAACCGCGGAATCTCCAAGTTTCAACCACCTCTGAAGCTTGGAGAGCTTTGGAGAGCCTCCTAAAAGTCGGAGAGGATATAAGAACAGCTCTCGAACTTTTCGGAGAGGATTTAAGAACGCACCCTTAGTATGTAACACGTCTGCTGGTGGAGTGATCTACAATTATTATAACGAAAGGTTTCGTGAACGAAAATTTGTACTTTGTATAAGTACAAATTTTCGTTCACGAAACCTTTCGTTATAATAATTGTAGATCACTAGGCTGTAGCATAAAACTTTTTTTGACATGCACCTTTAAGCTTTGTACATGCAACAATCGAGCATGCAAGGAGGTAAGCCTTGATGATGTCTCCTTGAAATTCTGTCGACACTGCATGCGGTAGTTGGACACTTTGGGGTTCGTGTACTCAAGGTACACGAATGCGGCCATTCTGCTCCGAAGATAACATTCATTTTAATTCGATTTGGGGGTGTAACACATAATCACTCGCAGCTGGAGTGCTTTAAAAAAAAACTTTAAAAAAATGACCAAACTTGACTTTCCTCCGCACAGTCAGGTGCATTATAGCCGCTGTCATTTGATTTGAAAGACTAGAGGATTTTATTTGTTTCAACATTTAACCTTGATCGAAAGGTTGAGTGCGAAAGCGAGAGAAAAAAACTAGTGCATAAAATGGAGATATAGAAACACAAACTACATGTAGTACATAACATGGAGATATACTGAATACTGGAAACGGGGAAGGAACATAAAACAGAGGATTATGCTGGTATAGAGAAAATATTGGAGATCAGCGAGCATCACATCACGTGTACAACATGTGCTCCCAGGGAGCCTACTGGTGATAGCTAGTGAGCTCGCTCTGGTCTAAAACAGTATGTGATGATGGGGTGATTCGTCTGGAACATTGACTACGCATGTTTGATTTGCATGCTGTGCCCGGGGCGGTAAAAAGTGAAACGGTAAGAACTCTCAAGAAATTAAAAATGACGTAAGGCCGCACTATTATGCAAAAGTCTATGCGCGTGTAGTCGACTTGAAATCAAGAAGTCGGCAACGTGATGATTTCGTTTCTTCTGTTTGCTTTTAGCATTTTATCGCTCCACACAGGTACCCTCGGTCTCAGGTACTCTCATATTTGTGCAATTGTTACTTCTGCTCCTGAATTGACCTCCCTGTTTAAATACACTGTAGCTGAACAAAGGAAGACAGTAAAAGCCAAAATAAAATTATTCCAGTAAAAAAGATGGATCCATTGATATTCGCATGTGAAGACAGCCTATGATGACAACAGGATCAACCTAAAACACCTACATGGGAAGGTAAGATATTTTACCAAAACCTGCACAGTACCTATTCATTTTACAAAATATATTCCAAGTGTTACTTGATTTTCTGATGCGTTTCCGTCACAGTAGTCACTGCTGTCAGGGAAATGTAATGTTGTATTCGGTGCAGGATTCCAGCTATATTGCATTCATCCCGGTGGTCGAGTAGGACGTGAAACGACTCGGGGTCGCTTCAGTGTACTGTTATTTCATGGAGAGAGCACACACACACATACACACACACACACACACACACACACACACACGTGCACTCACACTAACACACACACATGCACCTGCACACACTCACACGCATACACACACACTCGCATACATACACACACGCATACACACACACACACACACACACACACACACACACACACACACACACACACACACACACACACACACACACACGCATACACACACACGCATACACACACACACACAAAAGCACATGCATCGCCCGCTAGTTGCAGTTCGCCTACGCCACGACATCGCCCATCTCATTCAACTTGACTATGGATCCGTCGGTGATGTTCAGCTTGAGAAGTGAGGTCTGCTTGGCACATGTACCATCGTCGTCCACATAGAAATTCATTTCACGTCTGCGTTGCACAGGAGCACAGGAACACAGACACAAGAGAAGCCGAGAGACTAGGATCATGGAGACTATCCGACAGAGACCTGGGCTTGGTTTTACTCTGACGCGGGAGACTATTAGTTAGCTAAGATAGTTGGGCTGACTGGCCGGCCAGACTGCTGCCAGTCATTGCTAGAGACCTTGGAGCTGTGGACTGTCGTCAGTCATTGCTAGAGACCTTGGAGCTGTGAACTGCTGCCAGTCATTGCTAGAGACCTTGGAGCTGTGGTCAGTGACACAGATCATAGCAGCCCAGTGTCTACAACCGATGTCCTAAGGGGAGGCATAGCAGTGGCAATGGTAATGTTGCATCATATCGCCAACGGCACAAGTGTAAGGGCAGCAGCATCTCTATACCCTGCAAGGAGAATGTGTGATGCACCCAAGCAGGTGTTCCTTCTTTGGAGAATTGGGAACTCGTGGCCTGGCACGAGGGAAGCATGGATGCAGTGAATGGGATTTTCGGTCTTTGACCACTTTGGTGAATCTGATCTCCTCACCTCCCACCGCTTTAGGAGCTGCATCTGCGCCTTGATCCTTGAAGGGTGGTGGCGTTCCTACGGATGCGGAAAACTCGGCCTACAGTCGAGTCTGACACGAACCGTGATGTTGTTGTTGAGAGTATTGCCCTCCCCCTACCTTAGAGAATATTGCCCCTCGAGAATATTAGCAGATACCGCCATAATTATGTAGGTTCTATTACTCTGTTGCAATCATATCCCTCATCACTAGCAGCAGCACTGGCAGCACTACCCAGACTAACAGTAGCAGCAGCAATGGCAGCACTACCCTGACTGACAGTAGCAGCAGCACTGGCGGCACAGGGGCGTAGCAGCCGGTCCGCCTTTGGCCGGACCACCTTTTTTAACACAATGCCAAACGGGCCCAGAATGCAGGATTTTGTGCTCAAATTTCGAAATCTTCCCGGGCGAGAGCCCCCCGGACCACCTCCAACGGCGGTGCTACGTGCCAGCAGCAGCACTAGCAGCAGCACTAGCAGCAGCAGCACTAGCAGCAGCAGCACTAGCAGCAGCAGCACTAGCAGCAGCAGCACTAGCAGCAGCAGCACTAGCAGCAGCAGCACTAGCAGCAGCAGCACTAGCAGCAGCAGCACTAGCAGCAGCAGCACTAGCAGCAGCAGCAGCACTAGCAGCAGCAGCAGCACTAGCAGCAGCAGCACTAGCAGCAGCAGCAGCACTAGCAGCAGCAGCAGCACTAGCAGCAGCAGCAGCACTAGCAGCAGCAGCAGCACTAGCAGCAGCAGCAGCACTAGCAGCAGCAGCAGCACTAGCAGCAGCAGCAGCACTAGCAGCAGCAGCAGCACTAGCAGCAGCAGCAGCACTAGCAGCAGCAGCAGCACTAGCAGCAGCAGCAGCACTAGCAGCAGCAGCAGCACTAGCTGCAGCAGCAGCACTAGCAGCAGCAGCAGCACTAGCAGCAGCAGCAGCAGCAGCAGCAGCACTAGCAGCAGCAGCAGCACTAGCAGCAGCAGCAGCACTAGCAGCAGCAGCAGCACTAGCAGCAGCACTAGCAGCAGCAGCAGCACTAGCAGCAGCAGCACTAGCAGCAGCAGCACTAGCAGCAGCAGCACTAGCAGCAGCAGCACTAGCAGCAGCAGCACTAGCAGCAGCAGCACTAGCAGCAGCAGCACTAGCAGCAGCAGCACTAGCAGCAGCAGCACTAGCAGCAGCAGCACTAGCAGCAGCAGCACTAGCAGCAGCAGCACTAGCAGCAGCAGCACTAGCAGCAGCAGCACTAGCAGCAGCAGCACTAGCAGCAGCACTAGCAGCAGCACTAGCAGCAGCACTAGCAGCAGCACTAGCAGCAGCACTAGCAGCAGCACTAGCAGCAGCACTAGCAGCAGCACTAGCAGCAGCACTGCCAGGACTTTGACTTACTGTAGATCATGCAGTGTTCCGTTCAGGGGCAAGAGGACACGCCGGGTTGTCCAGCGTGTTGTGTCGGTCGTCTCCATGGGAATACCCAGAGCCTCCTTGGGTGCAAGGGCTGTGAATTCCATGGTGTTGCTGCTGGAGCGTGCCTAGAACACGGTGAGTCAAGAAATGCATTCAAACATCAATTATCAGCTTGTATCAAAACACAAGCCCACAACAACCACAACAACATATCTCTTATCGGCCACTGGCTATCATGAGAACAAAGATTGGAAACAACAACACACGCAGACACATGCGCGCATAGCGGGGATATTGGAAATTTGGGAATGCAGCTTAAGAGTCCAAAGAGGTGAGGAGCTAGCCACCTGTACTTGGTGAGTACAGTTCCTCAGAGATCCAGCAATGTACTCGTACAAGTGCCGGTGTGCAACGACTTACAAGAATGTCTCCGATGTGCATCCTTCCATTCTGGATGTCATTCATCAACTGCACCAGGAGCAAAGAATAGAAAAAGAAAAACAATGCTCGCCATATTTAGTTGGAACGTGAAATCCAACCTAAACCTGGCCTTGAGATAATCAGTAAACTACACATAACGCTCACAAAATGAAGAAGATTCCTTTTCAGGTGACACTCCTGATCATACCAGATCTGGTCCAAGCTCGATCGCGGTCTTTAGTTTTAGCAGGAGCGTCACACACGGTACGACCTTTCGTCCGATGTGGTCCGCCCAATTCATCCAAAAAAAGCAATAAAATCTCCATAGGATCATGCACACTTGTGTACATAAGGACACTGTACACATGACTATTGTCATGGAGTTGTACACATGAGCTAGAAAAGCACCGCTGTTTTCTATCTTTGTTGTTGACCCTTGCGGCATCGCTTTGTTTGTGGAGAGTAAAAGCGGCGCGCACCGTTGCTTCCCTATGGTAAAGCTGTAGGGTGTATGAGAAGGTAAGGCTGTAGCAATGGCTGAGGGTGTATGAGAAGTGGTTCAAGATCGTCCTCAGTTTCCAAGCCTCTGCTCCTGTTCTCTTCCAGTCAGCTCCACACTTAGAGAATATCATGGCCTCTGTACTCTCTACTGCGTCCGAGTCTATTAATTGGGAGAGCGATGAAGGCTTTGTGGTGGTGGCGTTGAGCGTGCTTTTCAGCACGAGTCCTACAGTATCAATTCAACGTATGTCTCAACATCGAGCTCGACCATTGGCGAGAATTGCAAGTCAAGTGAAACCGCTCACCCATCTGGCAGCTATAGAGACGCTATGTAGAATCTCAGCATCAAAGTTATCCTGTCAGCTTGGGGAGGTGCACCTCCCCAATATCTCCATCCAGGGTTTAGATATACAAGACTATGGTGATGAGAAGTACGACTACGTGATCATTCAGCTCATGGATGGGAGATGGCGCATGTACGGCCTGATCGAGGCAACCCATGCGGCATGTGTTAGAGATGTGAGCAAGTGCATTCAAGATGACATCAACTCTCTGACGCTAGCAGTTCCGGACTTCGTAACCCTGGTCGCGAAGATCAGAGGCGGGTCATATTTCCGAAAAGATTGCATCGAGTCGACTATACCGCTGGAACTTTCTCCCGCCGAGTTCATCATCGTCAAAGTGGAGGTTAGCAAGGTGATGGTTGAGGTGGATGGCTCTATCAGACGTGATCCGCAGACGACAGTAATCAAATCAGTACCTATGGGTACTCTCCACATCTACATCAACTGAGAGGGTATGTGAGCGATAGTTTTGTTGTCTAGCTGTTTTACTTGTCTAGAGGATTACTTTTCCTTCGACAATGCATGAAACTCAGACTTGTAAATAAGATAGTAATAGTTTTGAATTGGTTGAACTGTTTTAGTTCTTCGTAATGCATAAACCAAAATTCATATTTAGCAATCAATCTTCCCGCCATTGAAGGATATGTAAGCGATAGTTTTGTAGTCTAGCTGTTTTACTTCTTCATAATGCATCAGCATTTCCTTACTAGAGGATTACTTTTCCTATAACTATTATAATGCATGAAACTCAGACTTGTGAATAAGATGTGTTTTTCAACTGTTTTAGCTCTTCGTAATGCATAAACCAAAATCCTTATTTAGCAATCAATCTTTCTGTGAATGAGTCAAAAAATACGTATGTAGTTTTTTCTTGTTGTGTGAAGCGCATTATAATTATTATGTTCTAGTTACTGTATAAGCAGAAATATTCGTCTGGAATTTAATTTCGTCTTTTTCGTCCAAGGAGATTTTGGACTAAATTAGATGTAGGACGAATATCGATTTGTCCAGCTTTTCTATACACTCTTATGATCCATGGACGGAATTTTCAACCGGACGAACTCCTTTTCTTTGGAGTTGGACGAAATTATTGACCGACGAAATTTTCTGCCTCTACAGTATGTGGTGTATTATGCCTTTGCTCGTAATTCAACTATTTATTAGAACTACCTGACAATCAGAATTTGAATAATAATAGTATAGTGTTTCGTGGCAAAAACTGGCAGAATACCTCGATGTATGCAATGAACTAATCGAGCTGACTAGTAAATTGCACGCTTCAGAGTACTTGTTCGCCAGTTGTGTCATAACAGACTGGCTTATATCATAGATGCAGCTAAACATCAGGCCGTTGAATGCCGGTATCAGAAGGCTTTCTTTCTGTTTTTAAAGGTTTCATCCAGCCAAGCACTGCTAACCAAGTTAGCACTCCCTACTACTAACACATCAATAAATCAGCCAAACACTGCTCATTGGAGGGTGGAATGTCCAAATTCTGGGGAAAAAAGCAAATAAACTGGCAACAATGCGTACACATGGTGCACTAGGGCATGCAGTGCAGGCCATTTTCAGAGAACACCGGTAGTTCCCGCTTGTAAGTCGAATCCCGGTTGTAAGTCGGCCCTCACCTTTTCTGCTAAGATTTTTAGTAGTAAAAGTAAACTGTGAAAATACGGTAGTCGACTTACGGCCAAGCGCCCGCCTTGGGCATTGCGATCAGGTGTTGTAAGGCAGATGATGATGTCTACGTCGCAGGCCGGCATGAAGTCTGTACTGATGTCACCGAGAGCACTCACCTGGGTGTCGCAACGTGTCACATTCAGAGAGTGCAGGACACATACACACACACGGACGGACACACACACACACGGACGGACACACACACACACGGACGGACACACACACACACTGACGGACACACACACACACACACGGACATACATACATACATGCTGCATGTTGTTAGAACTGATCGGCTACATCATTGTATTGCAAAAACATTTCCATCAGTTCAAACAACATGCACGATGAGCTAGGCAAAAAGCATAGCATAGGGCCCAGCTTTCAAGCTCTCTCGTTTAGAAACGAAAACTAGTCGTTCAGGGGGGAGGAGAGTCGAGAGCCTGTTCGTTTCTCGAAAAAATATCGATGTACAGTTAGTATGTGCGGGCACGTCCAGAAAAAAATATAGATACTATGTAGATATACCATTTGTATGTGTTCGTTTCTCAGGGGGGGGGAGGGGGTTGAAGAGAAATGACTAGTTTGCGTTTCTAAATAAATATCGGTGTTTACGCGAGGAGACAATAATTTAATTAAAGCTACACATCCCTAACTTGAACAAGTGCCATGTAGCGTGGTGATGTCTGCGGCTTTAATACTATTGATAGCTTTAACTTCGGTACAGGTTATTTTTACCTAAAATTCAACAACCCTATGTCACACAGTATGCAAAACGCATTTTTGGATCTGGAAAACTGGTTTACCGAGATTTTCGCGTTACCCAACTGTTGATTTTGGAAATACCGAAAAAGTACACCACCGAAAATTCCCGGTTTTACAGTAATTGATCAGTGAACATTGCAAACACTTACTGTAGCCGAGAGCACTTCGCTAGAGTGCAAATGTCCACCACCAGCTGAGATAAGCGGCAAAACTAGAACAACGCGCTCGCGTTCAGCTTTGCACGCAGCATCCTTAGCCTTCTCTTCCTCGTCAGAAGGTGTTTTTATCACATAAGGAGCAGCAGAGAAGGGTGACGAGGAGGGGGAAGAGGAGGGGGACGAGGAGGCGCCAACAGTTACAGTCACCTCGGTGGTACTTTCCACGACACAGTCTGTTTCCTCGGTGGTGTCACTTGCGTGTTTGCGCTTGACTGGTGCTGCCTCCGGATGCTTCACATCTTGCTCGTCCGCCTCATCCGGCTCAGACTCAGAAGAGGATGGATCGCTGCCAAGCACAGCGTTGACAACAATGTTCAGGAACCTAGACATGCTACTCCTCTCACGTGGGAAGGCCTCTGCTAGAGCGCCAAGAGCAGCTTCCTTGAACTCGGTGCTCGATACCTCAGTCTCAGCGTCATCGTCTTCCTCCGTAGGAAGCTTGTCGTCCTCTTCCAAATCTTCTGGTGAGGCATCAGCGTCCGCGCCGCCTCTGTCAGCAATCAGGTTCGCCAGGTACTCATCGTAAGACTTTGGCAGGTCGTCGGCATTCCCGTAGGCCGACTTGCGCGCTTTCTTCGGCGGATGCACTGAACCATCGTACAGGTAGGAACTAGCGCGCTGCACAAAGTGCTGGATTGCATCGAAGGCACTGCTAAGTGAGCCAGATCCACCCACGTCCTGTAGGGAAAGTTAAGAAGCCAAAAAAGAAGAAGAAAAAAGCACACTGCTGCCAGTGGTCTCTTCCAAGCAGATTGGCTGTAGCCAGTGGATGCCGAGTTAAAATATCTAAAGATAGACAATGGTCACCAAGAAAACGACATAAGTTCAGTTTGCTACTCCGAATTTCATGCACTAGTTGGTGCAATCATCTGGCAAAATTGTTGTGTGCGGTGACCATTGAATATTTTCAGATAATATTGCTCCGTCGCAAGGGAATTGAGCCGTCTTGTGCAGTGGTTGCTCCCAAGCTTCGTAGACAAATAGGCAGCGCATGGCGAGCAGCACATGCAACTCTGGGCATGTTCTGGGCAAGCAAGGAGACAGGCTAACACCTCACCCACTGGCAATGACACACATGTACAACATGTACAACTAGTTACCTGTCCGCACACGAGCCAAAAACGGCCAGCCTGTTCTTTGCTGTTGAGTGGCACTGCCCGCCATAGCTCATCCCGGTTCGGGTAAAACACCGTCCTGTCACAGGCAGTGGTGAACACACAAGCATACACATGTACAGACAGAAACAGACAGAAACACGTACACATGCACGCACATATTCACACACACACGTGCACAAACACAAACACACACACGTGCACATACATAACAGGATTACAGGACCAACACGGGATACGGCAGTGAGTTTGGTTCAAGAAAAGAAGCACTAGTAGTCACGGAGTGCAAAGCACAGTGCTGTGTCTGTGTGCACAGAGTCAGAGGATCACGCAGAGGATCACGCAGAGGATCACACAAAACTGCAAACTGCAGCACTTTACAACATCAGTGCACCACCAGAGACTAGAACAAAGTAGACCTCAACCTTAAAAGAAAACACTTGCGGGCTGCAGTTTGTACCAACAATATTACAATGCAGCGGTAACAAATTCAATCGCCGTGGAATGTCTCAGTACTCCTTTTGTGCTAGATTGTGCACGTCTGACTGGTCGAAATCTGGTTTAGTAGGTGGGCTCGAGCAAAAGTACTAGAGCATTTGTGCTTTCATCCCATGAGCTTACTTTCCTACGACCTGTGTCATCTCCTCACGGCCCAGCATGGAGTAAGCTTGCAGGCCGAACGAGGCACGGCCATCGCGTGACGAGCCAGAGCTGACCGCAACCGCCAGTGGTGTATCAGTCCTGCAGAACAAGCAGCGCAAGCGGTGTACAGTGTATTGGACATAGAGCAGATGCAGCAAAAAAATTCACGGTTCGCTTGAGATTGAGTTTGAGCATCCGTAGGAACAGGAATACGCACGGCTTGTATATGCAACATTACGGTATGTCTATGGGCATGCTATGAAGTATAGAGGTTATGCGATTACATCACTAGTTGACTCAAGGTACTTCGGCAAGGACGCGGCGCAGCGCGATACACTAGCTCAAGCAAAACCATGGAAACCACCGATTCGCGCTGTACACATAGCGCCAAGAGTACATAAGCCCCCAGAGTGCGCAAGTTCACTTATCAGATCTGGGACGGCGAAATCCGTGTTGCACGTCATAATAATGACATCATGAGTAGGGGAAGTGTGGACGTGGTACACCGCGTCGATGGAATGAGGCAAGTCCGACCCAAAAAATGACGTACATCACGGATTACGCCGCCTCACAACCCCATCCCAGTTGCGCACTCTGGGGGTTATGTACTTTTGATTGCGCCCATAAGCGGTTCCGCTGATTCACCACCCTGACATAATTCCCATAACCTCTGTAGCAATACACTTCAGTAGGGCTGAAACGATTATACCAATCACTCGGCAATCGATCGATAATCCCGCAACAATCAACTAATCGTTACGTTATGGACTACTGTAATTTCACAAATTTTCGGTGTACTTTTATTTTCGGTACTTTCGGTGCATCTGTTTCATACCTAAAATTGCAATACACCGAACAAACACCAACACACATAAACCAATAGGGAACTGCTTCTCTGTACCTAAATTTTTCGTTCGCCTAACCTGGCCGTTTGCCCTCGTACCGAAAATATTGAGCACCGAAAAGTTCTGAAATTTGAGTCGAAAAAGTACTGAAAACCCCGTTTTCGTGAAATTTGAATCAGATTCTGCTGGGAGTATGCAGTTGCCAGGGGTATGGTTCATGTTCTGATGTTTATTTAAAATGACTTCAAGACTGCCATGTTCCGGAGCTACCCTCTCGCTAAAGCAGATTTTTGGTATTATGAAGACATATCTTGTGGAACAGAGTAATTTTTGAAAAAATTCTGACGCTATTTGCAAACGATTCTAATCGATAAATCGATCGTTAAGCTAAAGAGTAATCGATAGGTGAAAATCCACGATCATTTCAGCCCTAAAACAAAGCTATGAACAGTATCCGGTGCACACTCATGACTCTATAGTCTATGCAATGCACATGCACGTGTAAGCCAGGTTGGTCTAGTGTTTCCAAGAACTTTCACGTGTGTATAGAGTGTGCGCTTGATGCTGTTTATAGCTTTGTGCAAAGTATTGTCTTAACTCGTTCCAAGTCATCGCAGTGGCAGTAGAACAGAACAAGCACGGGACAAAGTTGTCTGTTCTCAGCGGCGGGTCAACTGACGTCAGCAAAACAGACATGGACTAATAAGCGCAGCCTCCTCCAGCGCTCTACAAAGGGCTCGAGTTGAAAGACATCTTCAATGCAGATGAAACTGGACAATTCTTCTGAACGCTGGCAAACCAGAACCTCATCCCCAGCAGTGAGAAGTACACGATCATTGCGTAATGCATGAAACTTCAACTTGCAAATGAGATATTGATAGTTTTGTTGCCGGGTTGTTTTAGTTCTTCGTAATGTATAAACATTTCCTTAGGTCACACTGAGGGATAATTTGAAAAAAATCCGTGGATACCATGGATATTTGCCGCTGCGCGGGAGATTTGAGAGATTTAATCCACTCGATGAAAATCAGCTCGAGGCCTCGCTTTTCCGCCGAAGATTATAATCATCCGCGGCTTCCACTGGATTTCTTTGAGTTTCCTTGTTTTTTATTGCATTATGTAGTAGAGTAAAGTATCCAGTACAATGCCAAACACATGCAGACATCACCGCAAGAGGGAGGAACGTACACTCTGTTGATCACATCCTCCGGCAAGGCGTTCTCCACGGTGATGGTGAACTTGGGTCCACTGGGAAGCCAGGACGTTGCCTGCAGACAATCAGACAACGATTCAAGACGATGCAGGACAATACCACTCTAACTACAGCATAATGCAGCACATGTACTGTAGAACAATTCAGTAAAACATAGAACATACCCTGGATAGAACGTACCCTGGATAGAACACACCCTGGCTAGAACACACCCTGGATAGAACATACCCTGGATAGAACATACCCTGGCTAGAACATACCCTGGCTAGAACATACCCTGGCTAGAACATACCCTGGATATAACGTACCCTGGATATAACGTACCCTGGATAGAACATGCTTTTCTCTTTACATCAGGTAAAAAGTTTTGTTATTTTTTAGAGACACTGCATATCCGTGTCCAGCCACTCGACCTCCAATATAGAGTAGCTCAGCTGTAAAGTGCAGATGTTTGTATCCCTTGCAGGTATGTTCTTTGAAGTTTCACCGTAGCTGCATTGTGCATTGTAGGGAAAGTCCCTAGCAATTTTAAGCAAAGTCAAATGTGAAGCAAATCACTCTTCTTTCGCTATAAACTGCACAAAAGAGTATTCGATCGACGTATCGTGTGCTCTGAATGGCCGTCGTGAGTCAGTCAAGTGCCAAGTGAAGTCGGCAGGAAATGTACTAGTAGGTAGGGAGCAACACACACTTTCTAGAATTACAGCACAGTGCAATAGTTACAAGCAGTAACATGAGTACCGTTATTACAGTCAAATCTGTCGTAAGCGACCGCCCCTTGGTGCAAGAAAAAGCGGTCGCTTACGGCAGATGGTCTCTTACGGCAGATGTATGGTAAACCCGGCATACCAGGTACATGTATATGCTTCCATGTACTCAAATCGACGAGAATAATGTGATTTTTAATAATTATCATTTTATTGGATATTCAACGACGACCATATCCACACCCGTATAGTACGCGAGTAGGAATGTACGAGCGGGTTCTGGGCCAGGGGGCGCCCGGGTCCCAAAAAATGGGGTATTATTGAAAAATGGGGTACTAATAGTACCCCATTTTTGCGGTGAAAATTATTTTTGGCCCGGTTTTTTTGCGGATAAAAATATGTGCCAGGGGGTGCCCTGACCCCAAAAAATGGGGTATTATTGAAAATATGTGTTGTGCACATGTGGGTTTGAATCTCACTTTTTTGGGCCACCTTGCCCCGGATGGGAGTGGGTATAAAAAGTAGAATGTTGAATATGGTGTTTATCATGAAGTTTTTTCCGTGACCTACCCCACCTCCCCATGCAATTTTTCAAAAATGGTCCTGCTCGCACACACGTCAGAAAGGTCAGTTCTTGATAGATACGATACATGTCATTACAAAGAATAATGGAACGAACAGTGAATATCGCAATGGAGTGGAGGAGAAAGGTAGTACAATTCAGTTCTTGTTGTCCTGATTTCATCAAGCTGGTATTGGATGAGAGACCACAAAGTTTACTCTTCGAATACGTGTGAGGATGGATTCACCCATGATCTCTTCCGTGACACGCAGTACGAGGTGGAGTTGTCGGACGCTCTGATGTGCACCAATGGTTCCACCCAGTCAGCAATGGAACTGTCAGTCGACGACCTCCTTTGCACCGCCATCGTGTCAACAGTCGACTCGGGTAATTTGGAGATAAATCCATCGTCGCCGATGTCGATCGTACCAACTCGCACACGAATCCGCGTTACTCTTGTTGCAACGGCACGGAGTTGAACGGCCTTGGTACTACGTCGTACACGCACACGATCAACTCGAGAGACTTCATTTTTCGTTCACCTCCTTGACAAGTTGCATTACGTCGCTGGAATCCAAATAGGTTGCATCAGCGAAGAGGTCGATGATGTGTTGAGAGCACGGTTCGTCACGCATGTCACTAAGCTTGTAGAATGAGTGTCTACCATCAGTCCACCTTCGCAGTATGACACCATCATCAGTCTCACTAATAGTTCCGTAGTCCTCCACACCACCGATGACGATTTTAGGAAGGTGCTGTTTCCTATTCTTCACATTCAAGATCAGACTGGTGACCCTGCAGATAATATACTCAGCAGCAGTGAGTGGTGACATATCGAATCTTCTGGGATGTGCTATCATCGGGTCAAGATCCCTGGTTGTCTTGCTAGCACTGAGGCGACGGATTGAGAACTCTTCATTATCGCATGAAAATAAATACCATTTCTCTGCTCTGCACGTCTCAGAAAATGTCCACGCCATTTTAGCTTCTTCACACTGCAAGAAGGAGTCGATAATGAAACTGCAGGTTGAGACTACTTCACCTCAAGGTCAAAGTTCACGCCGCGATGACCTTTGTAAACAAGGCTACGTCTAGACGTCTCAAACAAGACCAAGGGGTCACGCCACGGGGAGGTGACGACCTTGGAGAACACGATGTGTTTCGAAAGCGGAAAGACGCCCCCGTCATGGTGAGTCTTTTTTGTTCGGGTTTGGAATCTTTCGACTATGATATCAGATTGAGATGTGAATGCCTTTCTTCTATTGCTTTGACCTTTGGGCCAAATAAGGCACACTGTGTCGGTCGTGCTTGGTCTGACCCCGGGACTCCCCCAGGGTTTGACCTTTGACCTTTGGGTTGAATAAGGCACACTTATCGTCATTGTTAATCTTTATTCTGTTCATTTTTTATTTATTTTTTCAGGAGTATTTTGCTATTATCCCCGGATAGGAGTGGGTATAAAAGTAGATATATTGATGGATAATGTTTCACTATGAAGATGATGGTGTGGGGTGAAGATGGATTCTGAATTAGAGATCTTACGTGCCTATGTACGTGAAAAGAGACTTCGTGAAGAAGAAGAAGAACAAGAAGAAGAAGAAGAACAAGAAGGAGGAGAAGAAGAAGAAGAGCAAGAAGGGAAGGAAAAGCAGTGTCATCATCTTGATCATGTTGTTCATGAAGGAAGATACGTATGTTCTTCTTGTGGACTTGTCATGGATGTGGTTTACTTACCTGAAGTTGATGTGCATCAGAGATGTAGTTTGATGAAGAAGCCTTACGCTGCGCATGAGCGGTTATGTGGTGTGGATCGTCATCTTTTGCATTTTCTTTCGAAAACTGAACTCTTATCCGATCAGCTTCGTGTACACCCTCTTCGAGAGCAGATACGTGCGATGAAGAAGTCCTGTTTGTACAAGAGTATAAATTATGCTATAGCATTATCCTGTATAGTATACGATACGAATGTGGATGCATTACGTAAACTGTATTCCTACTTACCTCATAGCAATGTAGCCTGGTTGAGGTTCAGTCGAATCATGAAACCTCTTCCTCAGCATTTTCCACTCCTATACGTACTGCATCTCATGGAGTCGACTAGGATGGTGTCTTCATTGCAATTGTCCATGTTGCGTTCGAATTTGCTGCTTTTATCTCAATCTGATATATCTCTTATGACATCATTGATTGATGCTTATTGCTGGGAAATCTATTCACTTGATCACGTGATCCAGAACATGCACACGTTTGACTGTGATCTTCTTTCCATACTGTATCAATTCACCAAGGTGGCGGTATCATGTAAGGAATCTTTATAATGAGATATGATTTTGGCGGGCACGATGCTGATTAAAAAAAAGTAAATTATCGTGTCCGTTCCCGAAGGGAACTCACGACGGCCGCTAACACCCGGTAAATCCTAGCGGCAGATGCAGCGCCTAACGGTGGGGGTGAGTGGATAAGTCTCACAACCACTGGCACAAGTGCCGAGAACGGCCCCATTACGATGCTGATTGGTCAAATGTTTTTGGCGGGCTTGATGCTGATTGGTGAAATGTTTTTGGCGGGCTTGATTGGTTGACACATATCTTATCATTTCAATCCACATACCTCTCTGGCTCGTATAAACGAATGATTGTCTGCAGTTGAGTCATTCGTTCATCGAATACAGTGCTGACGAGTTGTCCTGACTTCACTTCCTAGAAGATGGCTTCCCTATACGAGCGAAGGATGAAGAAGAATTCCGCTCTTCCTGCTGACCCTCCTCGAGTTGTGCTCTCTTCGAATCCAGTACCGGCTAAGCGTCGCTATGCATCACCTGCTCCTACCAAGCTCCACAAAGAGATTGTGGTGGATGGGTTTCAGGAGGACATGCAGCTGCCCTACAAGTTATCTGGTAAATCCTTCTACAAGCCTGGATATAAGATGTACTTCCCTTCGGGAGCTCTGCCAGCCTGTGGTAGTACGGCAACAGCTCGCAAAGATGCTCAAGGACAAGTTTACATCGAACTGAACGAGTCCACTGAGTTCATCATTACGAACTTGATCAAGACTTGTCCATCGCTCCGTGACACTCTCCGAAGTGGACGTGTGGAGAAGATCATAACCAACTTCTATACATCACGTTCGTCCGACGGTCAATGTCGGGTGTACATCAACGGTGAAAACAAGCTAGTCCCGACCAGCTCGTTTGAACTGGATGTGGAACAAGATGTATTCATCTACCCCGGGGCAGTCTCCCTCGACACTGACGAGCAAGTGATGAAGGTACGTCTTGCTGTTGCTCCAATCATCTGCATCAACGTGGAACCCAGATGTTTTCATCGTGCTCTGGACGCACACATGGCACTTTCTATCACGGAGCTGAAACAGCTGACTGAGAGCTTCACATCATTATGCAGTGTCGTCGTCCAACAAGACGATCAGCTGGTAGAGACCTTCCAAGAAGTCTTTAATGAACTGCCTTCTTTATCACACAGCTGATCATTCATTCTTATTCTATCCTATACTATCCTATACTACTTTCTACGTCAATACCTCATGATACAAATTTAAAAAAAAAAACTTCTAAAGAACAAGTATGGGTGGTGTTGTGTCGAGTAGTACGTCCACGGAAGAGTGCTGCCTTGCCTCTTCGGACTCTAGTATCCCCACTGCTACTACTAGTGGAGAATGGGTTGCAGGATGTGAAAAGAATGGAATTGGGAAAGATGAACCAGGGTGATCTCATGTGAACACCATCAATGAATGCGTCATTCATGACAAGATCAATCATGTCAAGGTTACATCATCTGTTTTTGGCGGGCTTGATGGTGATTGGTTGACAACTTTGCATTTTCAACCCACCCCATTCTGACTTGTATAAATATGCATGCTTGACATGCAGTCGAGTCATTCCTTCACCCGATACAGTATTGATCAGTTGCCTCGTGTCTTCGCATTCTAGGAAATGAATTCCCTTTACGAGAGATGGTTTCACGTTGCAAAGAGTCTTAACGGATCGGCTGACCACAAGACTCACGAATGTCAGGTGTGTCATCTGCTAGTACGAGTTGCTGACCATGTTCTTGCAACATACGCAAAGGATGAAGGTGAATGCTCGGAGACTCGTCATGCCTTTGCCATTGACCATTTGTTCGTTCGTGATTCGACATTGTTTCACGTGTGGACATCTGCTAAACATGTCGCTATGAAGAGACCTGACATTCTCAGGTATGCTGCGAGCTTTACTGTTGGCGATGGTGATCGTGAACAAGCTGAACGACTTGAAAGTTGCATATGCGGCATCATGGAAGGTTTATGGAGTCATGCGTCAAACGACGTCGTTGCCCTGGAGATGACCTTGGCATATTCAGTCACTCTGTTGGACATGCTGGCACGGAAAGGCGATCGTGCGAAGGTGTTGTTAGCACGAGATTTCCTCATGAAACACATTCATGAACAATCGAGGAGGAGGATGAACGGTCGACTCATCAACACGATGACTGTGGCTCTTGTTTGTTGTGCATTACCTGTTGTTTACCTGTTCTTATGAGCATCATAAAGATTTATTTGAGAAAGAAAATATTTCCTTTCATAATTAGTACAGTGTGTGTGTGTGTGTTTGAAGATGGCGTACTGGGCTACGCATTTCCATAGGAGTGATGGTGATGAGGCCTCCCTCAAACACATGCAAAGCATGCGGAATGACATTATCGAGATGCAATCGGTTGTGGGGAACGAAGACACCGAAAACACCTTGGTTCATGATGTGGAGAAACTGAAAGAGGAGAAAGCCGATGAGAGCAAAGTGGAAGATGTGGAAAACAGATCTACGCGCTACACAGATCAAGCCATAGCAACTGATGAGCTGCACGTTAGAACAGACGGATCCGTGTCCATGGATGCTAACCTCGACATGAACGAACATTCAATCTGTAATTTGGCGTACGACGATAGCTCTTTGACATGTGCTGTCCCTGCCGGTTGGGTCAAGAATGAAATCCGTCAATCCTCATCGAGATTGCAACACGACATCGACGCTGTGCGCAAGATGAAAGGTCCTCGTGGTGATCGGGGATTGGGATGGCTTAGTGGAGGTGGCATGCCGCTGAACTCTGTAGGGAGAAATGGTGACTTCTACCTCGATGCAGCCACGCTGATCGTGTACAAGAAATTCAGCTCGAAATGGATGGCTTTCGGTCGGCTTCGTGGACCAAGAGGTGAAGCTGGTCCACGTGGGGAACGTGGATTGATCGGTCCTGAAGGTGAGACTGGACCTAGAGGAGGCGATGGACAAGGTGGTGAACGCGGTCAAAAAGGCGATCAAGGAATACCTGGTCCAGAAGGTCCCAGAGGTAAAGTTGGACCACGTGGAGAACGTGGATTAGTTGGTCCTGAAGGTGAGATTGGGCCTAGAGGAGAAGATGGACAAGACGGCTCACAAGGTGAACGTGGTGTTCAAGGTGATCAAGGAACCACAGGTCCCGTCGGTCCCCAAGGAACCATCGGTGCAACCGGTCCTCCAGGAAACAGAGGTCCCGTGGGCCCCCAAGGAATCGTCGGCCCCATAGGTCCTCCAGGAGCCAGAGGTCCCGTGGGTCCGCAATCAAATCAGAACCTATCCGATCCGTTTCATCTACTACCTCTCATTCGGAGAAACGCCTACCTCTACATATACTCTCATCCTAGCAGATTTGAATCCGTCACCAGGGTGAGCAGAAACAGATACAGAGGGGGAAATATCGTTGACATGAAGGACAAGAGAATCAACGTGAACAGCATCGACATGTTCCGAGACGATCACTTCTACCTCAACATTACACAACCCAGCCAAGTTTCCATTAGAGAACGATTCGTCAATCTGTTTCACGACAACATGTCTTTTGCAATGTTCCAAGTAATTCAAGTGGACGCACCTGACCCTAGAAACATGTCATTGAAGGCATTCGATATCGATACTGTCGGAAATTTCAGCTTGGATAGTTTGTACGTGTTGTTCACTGCCACCCACATAAGTGGCAACTACTTCACGCGTCCCGGCCATTCATCATTCAACATACCCGTTTCGTCTGTAGTCAGCCAATTATCGGCGGCTTTGGATAAACCTGTGTCGAGTATGACGGATCTCTTGGGTACAAAGTGTGTCATAAGTTACGCTCGGAATTCAGAAGGCCTATTCACTCTATACGTAAACTCCATTTTGATACATTCCAACTTAGACACTGTCCCATTTTCCAGGACCAATGGAATCGAAGATTGCAATTATAGCATTGGTGGTACTCAATTCTTCAACGGCACTTCATCAAAGTTGTTCTGTCATTTGCACTTTGCAGAGAGTTTATCTTCTCACACAGTCCAGCGCATCCACACAGAACTCATGGCACACTACGATATATGAAAGTGCTACTTTGATTGTACATAATATATAGCACACATGCTACACTACATTCTTGAGATGAAAATGAAAAATAAAACCTATCTATAGTGAGTGTCATCACAACACCAGAATGTCTGTGATATTGACAGTGGCGAACAACACGTCGGGCGTGAGCAGGGGATTGCACAAACCGAACTTTACTCTAAATGTGAAGGAGCTCGATACGCGTGATAAAGTCCTGCATGTTGAATCGGCTCAGTTTGAAGTACACTTTGAGAACATAGACGAGGCAACGAACAAACTCTATGTGGTACATGGTGTAGAAGAAGAAGAAGAAGAAGAGGATAGACTTTCCATCAAGACGGGAACATACAGCGATGTAGACGATTTGGTGTCTATTATCAATGCCACTCTGAAACGAGCAGGACACGGAGACATTGTGTTTTCCTACTCTCGTCACACCAGCCGCATAAGTGTCTCGGTACCCAGGAATAAACGGTGCTTGTTGAAGAAGGACTCACCCGCATTGGTGCTGGGTGTGGGCACTATTCTCAAGCCATACACGATCGAGGGATCTCACACGTTCCCGTTCGCTGTGGATCTGACGAAAGGCAGAAGACTTGTCCTGCTCTACACCGACCTCATTGGACCTGCTGTGGAGTACGAAGACAATACTGATTCGAGGGTGCTGAAGACTTTTCTTATTCAAACCCTCAACGGTTTGAATAACTACGTGTTCGGGAAAGAAGACAAACGACTGCTGCTTCCACACGAAAACGTGACTAGCATTTCGTTCTGGTTGAAATTCAACACCGGTGAACACATTACTTCCGGATATCCCGTCTACCTTGATCTTCGGATCACCAACACAACTACTTAGATGGATCTTCCAGATGTTCGTGTCCGTCACGTGCGTGACATGGTGGAGGATATAGCAAAACGAAAGAAATTGGAGAGCGAAAAGGTGCGTTGCCGGGAGAAGTACGTAATTTACAACACTGCAATCTTGTCCTTTCTCATACTCATTCAAACCATTCTCAATATCCTTCAAGGGAGTGGTGTTGTATCTGGAGAACATCGCATTCGAATCATCGCCATCAGTAGCACGATCATCGGTGTGATCATGGCATGCATTGGTAAACAC